CTACCCCGTTACTCACTGAATTATAACAAGCCTTGTAGGGAGAGATAGAGCCCGCCAACCTGTGCACAATGCCTCACTGATGAAGGGTGAAACCAGGCTGAGCCATGCATTTCCTTATTCACTTACCCACCCACCCAGCACACAGTGAGTGTGCATCTGACCCTGGCCAGTCACTGTGCCAGGGGCTATGGAGCTGCAAATGGCACACTGTGGCCCTTGTCTGGTGGAGGACAGACCCATGCTAGATGGGAGATTAGGTGCTGTTCCATCCAGCCCAAGGTTAGAGGCTCCTTATCCAGAGACAGTCACTGGAACGATGGCATGAAGTTTGGTTTCCCTGGTCCTCAGTTTCTCCATCTGTAAAATGGAAGTGTGGCCACTTGTGATCATCATAAACCCTTCTGAAGGCCCCTACAAGGCAGGCAGATGACACATAATTGGTCAACTTCTTCCAGAAGGTGTCATTGGCCCTGTGTTACAGATGAGTAGAGGGAGGCTGAGAGAAGTGGAGTGACTTTCCCAAGGCCAGTCAGCCAGTGAATGGCAGAGCCAGGATTCTACTCCAACTCAGCCCGCCCCAGAGCTGCATCCCCTGCCTCCCCCCTACTTCCTCCTGCCTTTCTCTGTCTCCCCGCTGCCACTCCAAAATGCTCAGAGTCAGGACAGACACGGAGGAGGGCAAGTGAAGCAATATAAACAGGTGCAAAAGCACTTTGAGGTGCTTCTGCTTTCTAGACCTCACTGCCAAAGGCTGTCGCGTCCTCATCCAGGAGGCCAGAACCCACTCACAGAGTCTGCAGGCTCTGCTGCAGAGGATGTGGGTGCTACACCGCCCACCCGGGGTGGGGAAGACTTGATTGGAATTGTCTGATTGCAGCTGTTCCTTTGCTCCTCTGCCGTGCCTTGCCTGGGAACAGTGCCTGCAGCTGTGCTGCTGGGGACTTTCAATGTGTGTCTGCCTCACTGATTGAGGGTGTCCCCCACGGGGTGCTTCTTCTGCCATGTCCTATGTGAGAACACTCATTTCCATCACTCAGGATTCTGGTCACAGAGCTGACAATTAGTTTGATTATCTGGTTGAGAAATTAAGTACTCCTGCTATCGTGGAGATGGCCACTTTGCATCAGTAGATTTGAGCTGCCAGAGCTAGCCAGTGTCCAGTACTCTCACGGGCCAATCCGCTCAGCGAGTTCTTAGGCCATGTAATATTGTTGATCTCTGTCTTGGTTCACAGACTCACTTAAGCAACACGAGCCTTCCTAACTCCTTTGAAGCATGGAAAAACCTCCCACACTCTCTTTCCAGGTGCAGACTGAATGGCACAGGATTCAGGAGAAAGAGCAGGGCTGAATCCAGCCTCCCAAAGTCACATGGCTAGGAAGTAGCAGGCCTGGGATGAGGACTGGGCAGCCTGGCTAGACTGCAGTGTGATGCACTGCAGAGAGTTCTTCACGCTGCAGCTTCTCTGTTTGCTCTCTGTCCTGCTCCCTGACCACTGCAGCTGAGAGATGGGGTACAGATAGGATAAGTGGAAGGATGGGGGGAGGTGACAAGGATACATGGAGGTTGGTGTATGGGGGCCAGAACGGATGGATGGATGGATGGATGGATGGCTGATGGGTGGATGGGTGATGGATGGATGGATGGATGGATGCAGGGATGCTAGTGGATGGAAGAGGTGGTAGAAGAATGGGTGTTTTGATGGACAGATGGGTGATGAACAGATGAATGGAGAAACAGATGGGGGAGTGTGTTGATGAGTGGGTGTGTGGAAGGTGGATGACTAGGAGAGAGAACAGGTAGAGGGATGAGTGGAGCACAGGTAGGTAGGTGGGAGAGATGGGCAGATATGGGAGCATGGCTAAGGCAAATGGAAGACAGAGAAGTAAATGGATGGGTATATAAACAGTGTGTGGAACATGGGTGGGTGGTGGATGTATTAGGTGATGGCTGGATGATGAATGGCAGGTGAGCGGGGAGGATGGGATTGCAAGTGCAGTGGGGGAAGCACAGGCTTAGAGCACCAAGTCAGTCAGAATCCTACTCTACAGGCCTCCAGTGAAAGGAGGGATGACCACAGAAAGGTTCTTCCTTCTTGATTCTGTCTCCTGACTCAGGTGCTGAATCTGATAGGAGGTGGCTGGGGACACAGCCCACAGCTCAGTTAACTATTGCCCTTGTACTCCTGGTGGTGCACAAGAGGGGAGAGATTTGAAACAGATACTTCATACTCCAAAGGATGAACCAAGTGACCATAACCATCAGCTCCAGGGACCACCTGGTCGTCACTTCTTTACCTGACTCCACTCACACCCTTTCACTTCAGATTTCTGCCTCCCTTTTCTAGTTACCCACATTCCTCACTCAATTGCAGAAGCTCAATCAATGGTCAGGCTCCAGGACATGCTGTCTTCTTACAGGAAGTTTTCCCTGACATGCACAAGATTTCAGAACCCATCTCCCCCATCTGGGCTCCCTTGTCACTACACTTGACTCTATCATTAAATTTGTGAAGCTTTACTTCATACTATAACTACTGAAAAAGTCTAGAGTAGCCATGCTAGTTCTCAATATAACCATATATGGGTACCTTGTGCTATTTTAAAATAACTCAAACACCAGTGTTTTGGGATTTAAAGGAAAATTTTAATTTTTCTCTTGTAATATGCCCAAAAATAATGCAGCATTACAATTGTGAACACCACACCTGTCACTCCCAAGGGTTCTTAGTCATTTGAGTTTTCCCTAGTTTTGATGTGATTTCTTTCCAGAGTTACTTAGGCTGGAGGGGAGGAAACAGAAGGGACAAGGAGGGAGTGAGGTTCCTAGGCACTCTCCAGCCTTTCCTTGGGATCCAACACCGCCTTCCCTCACCACAGAAATACCTTCCCTCCTACCTTGTCCTCTCATTCCAGCTCTGTCCTCCAGGTCCTGCCCCTAACCACAGGATGATGTATTTTAGCCATGCCTACCTCTCCTAGCCATCCCTACTGGACAGCAGCAGGCCTTGGGGGCAGAGGAACTGCCACCTGGTCCCAGGTCTTGTAAGTGGACAAAGAGCAGGGGACAGGAGCCACCAGTTCACTGTCTTAGGAAACTGTTGCTTCTGACACTCGGGCCATCTACAGGACTCCATCAAACACTGGTGGAGTTACACAGGCTCAGCATTCCTGCTGTGAACACTCATGGTCACATGTACAACTGTGAGCCGTCAGAGGCACCCATCCTGTGCTTCTTGTCTTTGGATGGCCCACAGTGCCCTGCAGGTGACAACTCTCACATCAGGACAATAGTTGATGACAAGCTGTTCTGCATTGTTTGATAGAAACATGCCAACAAATGTAAGAAGCAGGTCAGTCCCATGTCTTTCAGAACCAGATGTGACTATAGCAAATGTCACTATTTCCAGCCCCATAGTCAGGACTTCTCATACTGACCTCCTCAGCCTCCTGCAAGGTGGATGGCATAAACTCCACTTTGAATAAAGAAACAGAGGCTCAGAAGATTCAGCAACTTGACCAAGGTAGCCCAGGTAGGATTTTGTTTCATGGTGCATTCTTCCTGCCCTAAAACTAAAACACTGCCCCCTTGGAAGCCTCAATCCTGTCTCTCACCTGCCCCATTCACAGGCAGTGACCACTAAGATACATTGAGGGAACCTGAACTTGAAGATCAAAGATGGAAGGCTACAGACTTCATACAATATGTGGAAGGTTGACCAGTTGGCCGGCTGCTAAGAAATGCAATGTTCAGAATTGTTACTAGTGCCTGGGGTGTTAACAGATTTCCTTCTTTCTTGTGGTACAGTGTCTAAATTAGAGCACCATACCAGCAGTGTGGAAAAAAAGAGAATAAACAGGCAAAGAAAAGTATAGTTAGAGAAAGAGACTTCTTTTGTGAAAAGGAAGAAGCTTTTATTAGAAGAGACAGTACAACCCTGGAGAGAGTGCAGTTCAGGGGTAAAAGTCTGACTGTTTAAGTGGTGACAACACACCTGGAGGACTGAGGCAGGCAGGTCTGCTAAATACTGACTTCCCTAAAGTTGTCAGGACCTGGAGTTTTACTATCCAATAGGGAGGGATTATTAGGTCGTGTGAAATTGAGACCCTCACCTTTCTTCCCCTCCCCAAGTGGTCTGACAACTGCTGTGTGGCTGCTCAGGTATGGAAAGTCATACACCTGAGCTTTTGAGAAGGGGAGAGCAGGCACCTGCTTATTTGATCCTCTTTGCCCTTTCAGGTCTAGCACCATTCGTGGAAGTTCATATAGGGATTACTGTGGCCCCAAGGTACACTCATGACCCTAATCTGGAGTGTGGGCTCCATAAGGAGGATCGAGGGCCCTTGGTCCAGAGTGTGGTCATCTGGGCTTTTATGATTTTGCCTCCTCAAAGAGGAATGGAATCTTGTGACCTGTGGTATTTCCTCATTCCTGCTCATGTCTACCTGTGCTAGCAGACCCATACCCCCAGCACAGTTTGTAATGGGGTCTTCTGTCAATCTAGATGCTTAATTGTCTACACATTTAACTGTGGGATTATGTGACCAGGGCTCACCTCCCCTTTAGACAGTGAGCTCTGTGAGGATAGAGAACAGGGCTATTTTACTTGTCAGTGTTCCCTGGCTCCCAGGCATGGTGGCTGGTGTCTCTGCAGGCATTCACTGAACGGAACACCCTGAATGACTGGTGCAGGGCTCACCAGCCCCCTTTGCTACCTGTGAACTGGAACAAATTACATATATGATCTCCCATAAACATCACAAGGAGTCACAAGGTAGGAAGTATTAACTCCATTTTACAGGCAGAGAAACTGAGGCTGTGTGTATTAAGTCACTCACGTCACACTGGACACTATAGCATGGCACTCTGGACCTTGGTCTCACTTCCCCAGGCGGGGCAGGTTTGGTGCCTCAAGCTCTGCCTGCCCAGTAGTGTCACCTGAGCCCAGGACCATCCTGGCACTACACTGCCAACCATGTCTGTGCTGTGCTTGCTTGCAGGCTCAGGAGGCAACAGGTCCAGGGCGGTCAGCTCTTGGACCCCGAAGGCCAAGCAGGGAGCCAGGCCCCGAGCAAGATCCAGGATGGGTGCAACAACAACCTTCTCACTCACACCTGTCCCCGAGGCTGCAGCAGCTAAGGCCACCTGCAGCCACCAGCCGATGGCACACTCACTGCCCTGCCCACCCAGAGCCCCTCTCTGTGCCATGATGGTCCCCATCTCAGCCCTGAAAACGTCAGGTGCAGATAGAGCTCTGAACTGGCAGCAGGGAATCCTGGGTTCTCGTTCCAGCTTCTGACTGATTCGCTGTGTGAACTTGGAAAAGTCGCAGCCTCTCTGTGCCTCACTTTTCTGCATCTGTCGAAGGGGTTAAAAAAGCTCTCTGCCCCAGCTCCAGTTACAAGGTTGGGAGAATCCAGTTGACTAGCAGATATACAAAGCCTTCAGTATTTATAAAGTTGTTTTTGCTTGCAAAATATAATCTTATTTGAAGTGCTCCCCTCCCCCTAAACTGTTAGGACATCACACTGGTACAGTTCAGCTCATGCTAGCTTGCTGGATGGTCCTTTTGAAAACTGCAGCCCGAAGCCATCAGAAATGCCTGGCATACTTTCCCTTCCATGGAAATGCCACTTCCAAGTCCTAAGGCCACCCCAAGTATCTTCATTTGCATTCTCTGTGCCCACAGACTTTCTGACCTTCTGGAATGGTGCAGTGTGCACAGCAGCCTGGTTCCCGGGACTAATGGTGCAGACGCTCCTCCCCTGGCCCTCAGAAGACCATCCGCCTTTTGGTTTCAACAGTCTCCATCCCCCACCCTCTCCCACATCCCCAGTGTTGGGGCGACATGCCACTGCCCACTCAGGTGATCTGCATTGCTGGTCACTGGTTTCTCTGACTGTGTCATCTGAGCTCCCCGAAAACCCAGCCTGTGCCAGAAGCCACCATCCCCATCAGTCTTCCAGACTTTCCTTCCCGGGAAGGGTGTAAAGCTGGCTGGTCAGCTGCACTGCGTGAAGGCGGCCTGATGGCACTGACATTCGAATATCTCTTCAGGAAGGAAAGCAGGCTCACTCACAAAGCCAACTGCTGGATGACCTGGTCGGGTTGCAGCTTGTGCTTGGACCAGGGACACTGAGGCTTGGCAGATGTCGCACAGACTTTGCAGTCAGGCGCTGGGGAGGAATCCAGCCCGGCTGAGCAGCTGGAAGAACCAAGAGAACCACAGGATGGCTCACGGTCAGTTTCCTCATCACTAAGGGGTGTGAGACTAACCTGGCGGGGTTGTCACGGGATTTGGTGAGATCCTGTATGTAGCACACCCAGCACAAGGGTGGCCACTTGTCACCGTCATCATCAACATCACGATCACCTTCATCATCGTTTGTAGAACTTTCTGGTGTCACCGACCTGGCACTCGTTTTCTGTGGACAGGAGCCCCGCTGCTGGTCAGGATTCTTCATTTTCCCTCTGGCCATCCCCATTGGATTCAAGTGTGTTTTAACTTTTCATCCAGTTTCCGTTTGTCACTGTGTGCGTGATAAATCAGCCCTGGGGCTGTCAGCATCATCTCTAAGACTTTCTAAGAGACCTTTTAGTGTATGATAAGGTTTTATATGTAAAATAGTCATCATTTTCCTCCCTTGAACCAAGGCTGCTTCTGGACTGTGTTGCCCGTGTCAGTCTGCGTGTCCCCTGCTCGTTAGTCTTTGGTCCCCAGTCCCCATCAGCACCGTCCTGCCCCCTCCAGGAGGCTGCTCCTCTCCTCACTGTGACCTGGAACCTCAATATTTCTTACTGGCTGAGCTGAGCTCGTGAGTTAGGGGGTAGGAGCTGGCATTCACCCAAAGGACACTGTATTTCCTGGCTCTGTTCAAGTCTGTGTTCTTTGTTCAGAATAAACTATTTCTTGGACATTTATTTTTCACAATATGTCCTTCATTCAGGGCTGAGTGGGGGTGGACCATGCTCTTCCTGAAGAGAAGAGGCTCAAATTTTATCAGAATCACAGAGATAGGGCCGGGTGGAGTGCAAGTCAGCTTTCTGTCATATCACAAAATACCTGGGATAAGTAACTTATAAAGAGAAAAGGTTGGTGTGGGCTCATGACTTTAGAGGTCCTAGTCCATAATCACGCAGATCCACTGCTTTTAGGAGCAGAACATGGCGCAAAAACATGGCCACAGCCAGGGAGCAAAGAGCAAGGAAGAGTCAGGGTCCCCGCCTCCCTTGAAGGGCATGTCCCCAGTGACCTAAAGACCAGGACCCACCTCTTGAAGGTACGATCTGTCCACTAGGGAAAAATACAGACAGTTCTCCATGTATGAAAAAAATGGTCTTTAAAACTTTCTCAGATGACCCCCCAGGCCTTTGAATGACTCACAGGTGCAAACGAGCCAGTGTTTCACTTGTATGCCTGTCTCTTGTCCGCTCACCTCCTGCCCTTCCCATCCGTCCTCTCCACTGGGGATGGCTTTCCTGTCCCCACTGTGCACACTAGCACAACCACATTCACAGCCCAGCCCATCTCTTCTGTGGCTCCTGGGGCCTGGGCCAGCTCTAGGCCACACCAGATGTCACCTCTCCCACGAGCTCTCCTCAGAGGTTCACTGCAGCTCTCTTGGGGCTCTGGCTACCATCAGTCACCCCATAGTTGAGAGGCCAAGCCTGATCCGAACTGCATCCTTATTTTACCATCCACCCTCCAGCCCTAACTGGGCCTGTCTCCTAAGAGGTAATCAGGCTGGGCTTGGTGGCTCACACCTGTAATCCCAGATAGTTGGGAGACAGAGCTAGAGAAGATCATGATTTGAGGGCAGCCTGGGAAGAAAAGTTAGTGAGACCCCATATCAACAAATTAGCTGGGTATGGTGACACTCATCTGTAATCCCAGCTACATGGGAGGCATAGTGGAAGGATCACTGTCTGAGGTTGGCCCAGGCCAAAACAAAACAAAAAAACATGAGATACAATCCAAAAACTGAAGCAAAAAGGACTCGGGGCATGTCTCAAGTGGTAGTGCACCACCCAAGTTCAAGTTCAAACCTCAGTACCAAGAAAAAGGTAATCAGCAGCTTTTGAGTGAATGAGACAGAGATCCCTCTGCTGGCCTCCAGTGCTACTTCCTAGGCCTTTTCTCTCCAGCGCTTTCCCTGGTGCCAGTCCCCCCTCAGCCCCTCAGAGCCACCTTTTCCTAGGTCCCAGGTTCCACATGAGGTCCCGCTTCCCTCTCAGCAGTCCCCCATTTCCTGGGTCCATGGCCCCAGCCCTGCCCTGGCAGGTAAGCGGTGTGGCTGAGTATCAGAGGCCACCATGTCCTCACATTCAGCCAATCACGGATCAAAAGTGTTTTCAAACACTCGAATCCGCTCTGAACACCTTCAGACCTTTTTCTGTCATTGCTGGCTAAGCGACACCATGTGACAATGCTTCACACAGCATTCAGACATAAAAAATGACCAGGACACGATTCACGTCTACGGGAGGTGTGTGTAAGTTCTCTGCAAACACCACGCCGTTTCACACAGGCCTTGTGCATTCTCAGACTCTGCTACCTGTGGGGGTCCGGGCACCAACCCTTGGGACACCAAGTCCTCTCAGATCCTGAGGGTGGCTGCACACACCCAAGCAGGAGTCACCTGGTAGATTGAAATTCAGACACCAGGACAGCCATGGACTGGTGACATTGGTGGGGCTTTCCCATCTCCCCTGGAGGGAACATCAGCTTCCATGCCAGTGAGTAGACCTGGTCCACCTGTACAGTAAGAATAACCCAACTCCACGTGCTCCAAAGCCTTCCCACTTACCAGCAAGAATTCTAGCATTTTCCCTGGGATTCCCAACTCCCCTGCCAAGCTTTCCTGAGCAACCAAATGGACTTTCATGTGGGCCAGAAGGTGCCCCTGCCCACCAGAGGAGTGGGGGAAACAGAGGTCCCCAAGATGCCCAGTGCTGCCCATGGGTTCCACTTCTCTGTTGTGTTGACCATTATGGTCCCAGGCCACCTGTGACCTGTGACCCTCACCTCCAGGCTTTTGATAGGACATTGGCCTCCTATCCCCATGGGCCTGGCTGGGAGGTCATTTGGCCTCTTCCCAATGTCTGTCCAGCACCATAAAAGCCACTGCAGAAAGGGACTATTTGCATAAGCGGAGGTTAATGGCCAAACAGTAGTGGCTTTCAGGCAAAGTGAGAGGGCCCCTCATCCCTTCAAGCCAGACTGCTATGCACACCCCTGTTCTATGAAGATTCTGCAGTCACCATGCCACGTGTCACCACAATGGGACATGCCTGGAAAAGCACTGGAAGAGGCCCCCTCTCAGGTGGGGCCAGGTTCCAGAGGCTTCCCTGTACAATCATGAACAGGTAATGTCATCTCCATCAACAGCGGAGTGTGCACACTGCAGCAGTCCCAGGAGAGTAGGGAGGAGCTGGAAAGTCCTATTGCCTGAGGACGCCATAACCACCGTGATGTCACATCCACCATGACGTCATATCCACCATGACGTCATAGCACTACATCATAATGTCAATGCATAACTCGTGTCAGTGGTGACTGGTGGGAGCTACCTACTGCACTGCCAGTAGCTGTGTACAGTAGGCAGTACCTGCAATAAACAGCTAAGTTACTGGCTTTTGTTTACTGTACTATGTTTTTTATTGCTATTTTAGAGTGTAGCTACTTCTAAAACACAGTTCACTGTAACCCGTACGTGCGCTTTGGTGCAGTAGGGAGGAGCGCTCTGCACTTCAAGAGCCCAGTGTTTTCTTAATGGTCAGTGAGTAGGGCTGCCCTTTGCTTCCATGGGAGACACTGTGTCTATCTCCCAGATGTCCTGGAGAGGACATCTGAGGCACAAGGGCCTCAGTGACCCGCTTACAGGGCATGCACAGATCCAGGGACCCTGGGGGGCATCTACAAACATACTGAAGTGTATGCAGCTCACTGTATGTGGGAGCCCACTTTACTTCATAGCCAAGTGTGAGGTCATCGTGCACACTGGTGACATTTGTCCTGGAACCAGGGACCACACTGCTGACAGCCACCATCTAGCACTTCTGCACTCAGATGCACAGGCTGCCCTTGTTGGTTCTGTGTAGTCTAAGGCCACATTCTCACGACTGTGGAGTTGAGTGGT